TAGACTCTATCCCTTCTACGGGAAAAAATATTTATAGCATAGTGTTTTTCTACTGTCTGGTTGTTTATACATCTTTAATTCATCTTTATTTACGAAAAGAGAGTAAGTTTACGGTATGTTTATCAGTTACGTAGTACATCCGTGCTTAATTATATATATTGTGATATGTATTATTATTTCAGTGTGAAGTATGATATAGTATTAATAGAAAGGGGTGATTAGGGACGTGATGTGAAGTCTAAAATTGAAAAACTATATACACTGTCAGGATTACCGATAGTCGAGATCATAGAGAAATTATTGAGGGAATTAACGCACTTATTAATTTGAGACATATTTATTTTTTTATTCTAAAAATATATATGTATGTATCTATGTAAACGTAAAGTAAAGTAACAGCCTATATATGTCCCACTGCTGGGCAAAGGCCTCCTCTATACAGAGGGTATCAGGGCATAATCCACCACGCGGCCTCACTGCGGATTGGCGGACTTCACATATCTTCGAAATTTTTTTTTGTTATTATTTCGAAAATATGCAGGATTCCTCACGATATTTTCCTCCACCGCGGAACACGTGATTAGTCAGCACTTAAAGTTAAAAACTTCATTGGTGCCGGCACCAGGGATCGAACTCAGGTTGCTCGATTATATTGAATTAAAGGCGAGCACCCGGACACTGAGCTATCACGGCTCTGTACCTGTATCTATGTACAAAGGCGGAATAAATGTCATCAGCAGTCCATCTTGGGGTGGTCCAGAGAATTTACGTTCTAAGTTATGATTGCTACAGACCCATCAGCTGTTTAGATTTATATCAGAAGCCAAAGGTTCAGGGCAATAAACTGGTTCTGTTAACGGTTTAACCGCGACATGGCAGCCGGCGGTTTACGTAATACGTGCATTGCGGTTTAGGTGACGTTGAACCGAAAACTTTAACCCAGTACTCGCAGCCATGTTAACTGTATTTAAAGTTGTTTTGATCGACACTTAACGGTTGGCCAAACACCGGAACTGCAGTTAGCAACTTCACGCCCGGTTTCTGAAACACCGACCATCGTAGATGTCAACTAATCAGCTGTCAAATGGCGTTTTAAATTTCATTTTAGTTGCCAAAAGGATGTTTAAACTCTCTGAATTGACCAGAAACATCTTCTTAATTATCAGATCACGACATCTGGGCTATTACTAAGTAATGTTTTAATTGGTCTACTGCTATACGATAGTGTTTGTAGATGGATAGAATGGTGTGCCAGTCGTAGATGGTAAGTAGTAAGTAGTCAAGTAGACCAGTAAGGTTCTTCTTGCCTCAAAGCAGATGAGCTGGGTGAGAAAAACAACTCTTTAAAGTATTCCTCTTGCCGTTTGCAAGCCTATTTGAACGACGAATTTTCTATTCCCTCATATATTTGGGCGACTATAGGTCACTAGATGGAGTGACGACCCGTGCAAATGTGCGGGAAGTCGATGGATGCAGTTGGCTCAGGATCGTACTTCGTGGCAGTCCATGGGGGAGGCCTATGTTCAGCAGTGGACTCAAACAGGCTGAAATCATGATGATGATAGGTAAAATTGTCTTTTTTTATAGGAATATTATATTTGGAAGATTGAAAAACCGGCTGAGTGCAAGTCGAAGCCTAAGGGTTCCGTATCACTATCCATAAAAACGGCAAAAAAATCATGTCTCTTGTATGGGTATGTTGCATGGTTGTGTGGTAATCATGTCACATAAATATTTTTATTCTGTGTTTTTGTATTAGTTGTTATAGCGGCAACAGAAATACATCATCAGGTGTGTAAATATCAACTGTCTAACTATCACGGTTTATGGGATATAGCCTGGTGACCGACGGACAGACAGACAGCGGATTCTTAGTAATAGGGTATCGTTTTAACCAAAGGGTTAAAACGATAAAAGAATCCTAAAAAATCACGAGGTCTTTACAAACGATATCAAGCAGCGACATTGACATAAGTTGTTCCGATTTCTTTTGAAAGGAAATCTATGAGGGGTAATAGTAAGAATAATGTTCCAATATATAAATGAAGATCAAATCCCTAATTTAAGCATGGTTCTGTAAACATCAAACTTTAATGCAAATTCCGAGATGTTTAAATTTATACAATTGTTTGTATTTGAACCATGAGCATTGTCTTTCTGCCACCTAGGACACAATACATCAATTATCTCCTTCACAATACACCCATAAGAGGGACAATTATCTGCGGTTCACATAAACTCTTGCGTGTTAATCGAACCCACGTCCAAGGCGTCTCGGTCAACAGCTTAGCATCTGCGCCTGCGAGTCTTCGTCCTATTTTTACACGAATACTTAATTATTATGTCAAATACAGTTGGCAAGGATATAAAATGGCAAGTCCAACGTGAGACCCACGCGGTACTTTCTCCAGTTACAAGTATGGAGCGGCTAGTCTGGGGTAGAAATACGGCCGCATGTAATAGTGTATACAAACATTTATACTTTTATATTTAGTTTAGTGTTATGTCAAGGGTTATGGACGTCCATGGGTGGTGGTAGCTATATACGATCAGGTCTCAATCGTCATTTCATTTGCGGTGTTTTTTCATAAATATATGGACTGTCTCAATTTTTATGAGGTTTTTTTTTTGGAGAAAAGGGACAAATGAGCAGGACGCCGGATGGTACGTGATTACTGCCGTCCATGAACACCTGCAACAGCCGAGGGCTTCCAAATGCTTTGTCGGCCTTTTAAGAAAGGGTATGCTCTCTTTTTGAAGGTAATGAAGAATTATTTAGGCTTGCTTCTCTTTTGAAATATTTTATTTTGTTCTTCATATTCTACCATTAATCCGCAAATTGAGAACGACTTTTTTTACATTAAATGTGAATTGAATTCTTTTAAAAAGACTGAACAACAATTCAATAGTCTCTTTTTATTCAAAGCGGGCGCGTTAAAGTGTGAGCAGAATACTAAGCAATCACAAAGTAAAGAGATAATAGAACCGATGAAAACAAAGCGTTTCTTTGAACAGCACTAAGAAGTCAGCACATGTAGAAAAGCCAGGCAGGAAAGCGGTTGAGAACGAAGAGAAAACATTTTATATACAACATGTTGCGTTTGATCCTGTTATTTTAGCTTTTTTTTGGCCACGTGTCTGCTTGATTCCCTTCGCATGCCACGCCCATGATTTGAAATTTTGAAAGAGACACGCCATTCGAAATTAGAACGAATATAACATTCTTTTATTATACGTTATATGCGTAGAAGCAGCGAAAGCAAATAAAATATTTTTTATTTCGTAGTAGTAATAGTAGTAACAGTAGTATTATTTGCGTACACTGCGTAGAAGTGATGTGATAGATTATTATGAAGAAAATCGATGCGACGTTTTATTAAATAGTTATTATACAAAGAAATATTGTTAATTTATATTACTGACGCAACAATAAAATTCTTTCTTTTTTTTTAAAACCGTTGAAAACTTGATGTCTAACTAGCTTCCACAAACAGCTTCTACAAAATTATTAATATGATTTATTTATTTGAAAAAACTAATAATCATATTGTTATCTAAGTAAACCATGGACCTTTGTTTGCATCTGATATTTATAAGAAAATTTAATTTCATAAATATAATATCGTCGTCTTCAGAAATTTGTACATTTTAATCTCGTTTGTTGATAAAGTTGTGTTCTATTGTGTTTATTATATGTTTAAGATATTTATTTCGATGAGTTACCTGTATGGAATTGTAGTTGATAGTCGATTATGTATATCGGCAAACGATGTACATATATGTTGAATTTATGCGTATCATAAAATGGTAAAGAGCCAAGTTTTATACACTTGCTTCTAAAAGATTGTTACTATGAAAGAGTCGTTAACTTCTTCGTGTTTGTACTTAAATTTTTAGTGACGAAATTTTATTTATGTATTATGTATAAATTTTATTTTATAACAAAAATCTTAAAATATTAGGTAAAGAATTGAAACTCGGCGAAAGATATGAAATTAGGAAAGGTACTCTCGATACAAATTTTCGTTGAGGTTTTTATAAACCGGAAAAGTTTTTATAAACTGGAACGGTTGTTCATAATAAATAACAGTTTGAAATTCCATTATATATTCTATTCTACTACTATTCTATTTTGATCTACTATCAACTAAATAATTGAACTGAGCTAAAATCCGAAATGTAATATTCATTAAGGAGGGACATCTATACGCTTATTGTACTGGCAAATGGATCTCCGTTGTTAATCCGCCGCGTAATTGCTTAAGCGATAATGAATCCCAGGACATGGGGGATCCGAGGACGCATGACGTCACCACCGTCGCTATCATGGTGTTGGTAACGATCCATGACGTCACGTCCTGCCAGACATCTCAGCAGTAGTCTTGGTGATCCGTCCCTAGGCCGATGTTCATCGCTTGCCACCTCTTGCTTAGTTTAATTTTGTTTTTTCTATTTTTTTTAAATAGTTCAAAAAAGGAATGAGGAAAATTAGCATAATGTCGTTCGTCCGTGCCGCGATGTCCTTTTGATGCGTGACCAAAAATTTATCTCGTTACGGTTGCTGGCACAAAGAATAAAAGAATTTTATTTAACTTTTTTAAAAAGTATACAAACCGGCAAAATGAACGTGTATCACACGATCTACCGGTCGAATAGAGTGCTCAAACAGAATCTAACATTGGATAAATTGGTAAGTGCTTCATTTTATTATTCTGTTGTTTTCGTAATTTGCCGTTATTTCGTGGGGTATTTTCACTTCACTGTCAATGCATAAAAAATACATTTGACGTTTCGAAACCGATCAGCTGATGATAATTATAACGTCGAAATGTTGCATGCTAAATAATCCAATTACGCTAACTCGCGGCAAAGCAACGAAATTCGACGTCGGGGACGGTAAAAAGCCGGTCCCAACGTACAATGTCACGTAGAACGGAATAAAATGGAGCCCGAGGATAAAATGGTGCACGGGGTAGAGATATAAATTGGTTGGCACTTACGAAATCTCGCTCGCAGGACAGGACAGTCGCACAAACTGACGCGTTTCGGGCCCAATCGATACCGCCAAACCGAGATTGAGCCGCGACTTTTGGGTTTTGCACGCGAAACGGGCGCCTTAGCACGCGGAGCGCGGCACGGGTGTGTTTTTTCGCGCTGGGCACCGGCGTGACGGGCGACTGCCGCAAACCCGGCGGAAAAATCGATAGCAACCCTTCGGACTGGCTCCCGCATGCGGAACTCGCGCCGCGGCCTCACGCCGCTCGCCCGGTTCCGTATTACGTAACGGTGCGCGAGCGGGACGGCAGTACGTCCCTCTGCTCGCCCCGCGGCCAACCCCCGAGCGCGCCAATGAGCATGCCCCAAGATGGCCGACTGACGTTTGACGTTTCGGCGCGAAAATTGACATTTGATTGGAATTACTCGGTCGCCCGCTCGCAAATTGATATGGCAACGGTTACATCGCTTCATTTGGCGTTGTTTCGTGATTACAGGGAACGTTCAGGGCACGACTACGAGCTTGCCTTTATAATGAAGTCATATTTCGCGGTAGATTATTGTAAGGGTCATATTTATTACGTTCCATGTTCCAATATTCCAAAAGCAAATGGAAAAATACATTACTATTAATGTATGAAAGAAATTGCCCGTTACTTTTGTATATTGTTAGCATTGGTTTGCATTTTTTTAATGTTTAATACTGTTCGTGAATTTAGATGAAAATTGGGAAATGAGAAAATATGTATTTAAAATGTAAACGGTGAAATCATTATAAAAGCCACAATTGTCATGTCATGGTAACAACTCCTGCTTACTTATTAATAATGTTAATAATTATTATGATGATTAACATTATTATAGTTAATAATTATAATTAATTAATAATGTTCACGTAAGAAACTAGAGCATATCACCCGCCAGAACTTCTCTACAGATTAATCAACTGAGATTAAGTATCTGTGTAAATTTTCAACCGAATTCGAAAAAGGAGATTCTCAATTCGATTGTATTTTTTATATTTGTTTCGTCAGAACTCCTTCATTACTGAACCGAATTAAAAAAAATAGTTTTGCACTAAATTCAGTGTACATCCTATGTGGTCCCATATTAATTTTATTAGGTTACACCTTGAATACCTGAGATACATCAGAAAACTGCTCAAAATCAAATATAAAATGTATAATAGTAAGATATTTGAAGTCTTGAAAAATGTACTTGAGTGTATGATGTATGGCTTTGGATATTACGAGGACGTCCTAGGCACGAGTGGTCAGGCCTTCAAAGAACTATTAAAGCACTAGTGCTTTGTTAACCCACTTTATCGAAAGTGTTCCACTAAGAGATCGTAAATATTACCTCTAAATTCAAATAAAAAATATATCAATCATCCAACTTTTCTCTTTATTATCCATGCATTCATAACTATAGCTAATAAGATAAAGTTTCTCGGAAGAGATACATAATAAAAATTAGGTGTATTGACTATGGTAGAACATTTTCTAGTATACAATATACACCAAATTAGCATGTATCAGTCTACTGTCCAGAAAGAATATTTCGACTGAGGGGCTGCCATGTCCTCAAAGGAGTCTCAAGAATAAGGGACTAAAAGTCCCTTATTCCCTCGTCTGGTAATTGATGTAACCGACAGCCCCTACCTTCAAACCACGTACATATTTCCAACCTCTCTAATGTTGGCAATCGGAAATGTGATTGTGACCACATATCGTCTAGCGAATTATTTGCTCTTAATCTTTGCAAAAGCGAGGCTTAAGCAATTAAGGATATTTAGGTCATTATATAAGTTTTGTATGAATAGGTATTTTCATAAGGGACGTTGAGTAAAACACCTCGGGCATACGATATAATTCATTTTAGATTTCACATTATCAAATAACTAGCTGCTGCCCGCGACTACGTCTGCGTAGAATAGGCTGAAGGCGTAACATTCAGACAGAAAGACATATTTACATGAAATATGTATATAAATGTATATGTATATAAATTCTGATGTATAAGCTATATTATTGTAAAGTTTCATTAGAATCTTTTCAGTGGTATTTGCGTGAAAGAGTAACAAACGGTGGTAGAGCCACGCAGCAGCCTCGGCTGCACGAATGGGCAGGCTCGTCCGGGTAAGTACCACGACCTCACAGAAGACCGGCGTAAAGTGGAAGTATGATAAATACTTTCGCGTTTCGTGTGGTGGTTTCCAAAAAGGTTTTCATCGCATCTGCAAACCCTCGGGTGTAGCAGATGCCTATGGGCGGCGGTATTCACTTAACATCAGGTGAACTGTCTGCTCGTTTGGCAACTTTTAACATAAAAAAAAGACACAAACATCCATCCATACATACAGACGCGTTTATAATATTAGTAAGGATATAAGTAAGGATTGAAATGGTTAAAAATTAAATAGATTTTTTTAAAGAAGGTAGCCCATTCTTTGTGATACGGTGGCGCCGTAGCTAAGTCATTAGCTTTGGCTTCGGGGGTTGCGGAAGCGATTTCCGCACGAGACAAGTGTCTTTGTTCGCTATAGATAGTTTAAAATTTGGGTGTTTGTTACCAAGGGGGGTTGTCATCAAGCAGACGGCCGATGGTAAAAATACTAGCCAATACCATTAACAACATGATTTACAAATTTGTGCTGACCCCAATGGTGGAATAAGGGCAGGAGATAGAAGTGAGACTTTTTTGCCTGCCACGAGCAAAAGTTCTATAGTGTTGCGAATTTCTACGGACGGAATGTAATTAATTACATGAACTGCGCAGTTTTCTCCTTTTCCTATATAAGATTAAAACTAGGAGCCAGACTAACGAGAATGAATGTTTCTGTTTGAAATTAATCAATTAAATGAAACTATATAGAAAGGTATTGAGACATCTTACGGAAAAAATTGACAATGTGTATATTAATCAGATTCCTCAATTAAATACATACAAAATATTAAAATCGCACTTCAAATGTTACGTTTCATCAGTTCAAATTCAATAAAAGTTAAGAAAAAACTTTAAATAATTGATTACGACAGAGCAGATTTCTTTAAGAACAAGTTTATAAAATAAATATGTTCGTCATACTAAAGTAAGTATCAAGTGCGTATATGATGTAAGCCCTCGTAAATCTAAAGCTGTAACTAGTTAATAACTATTATGTTTTCGGACATCAGGAACCTTCCATGACCATCAAGTTCCGTTCGTTGCATCAACTTCGTCACCGGTACAAAGACAGTTGTGACGAAAACCACTCGAGGTCAAGGAAGGTCAAAGAATTATATTCACCAGAACAATTTCAGTCGTATGTTACGCAGCTGAAGGATTAGTTTCCCTCAAGAGCGGCACGTCCTGGTGTACGTATAGGTGAACGGACATCCTTGACACGTTGCGGTGGCGTTGTAATACCATACCACCCACTTTCGAAGCCGGTCCAAATCTTAATTAGTCAGCTGACTGCTTCGCTGCTCGATTGGGGGAGGGGTGGGGTGTTAAGCTGGGTTCGATGCCCTCTCTGGCGAGTCTCAAGACTGGAGAGAATGCCTTTCAGGTCCAAGAGAAACCAGTTACAAAATTTATTTAAAGAGCTTGATCGTGTAGTTTTTCTTAATGAAACTTAACTATTGGTTTTTGATTTAAATATATACTCAATTATTTAAAAAATACATTACATTAAAATTTGAGAAAATTAAAGTAAAATAAAAGTTAATAGAAGATGAATATTTTAACACCATGAATAAATAATGAATCTTTTTCGGGGTAGTCAAGTATCAGGTTCTGCTGTTGCATGAATGTGCTCATCCAAGGAAGCGAAATAACTTCACGAAAGACCTTGATACAGTATTCATATTGCAGTAAGAAGAAAAGGTGTAATAGCTCAGTGCACGAGCTCTCATTTCAAATTTCGTTGCCGGAAAACGTTAAATTGTTAATTGCCATTTTATGTGTTGACTTATCATCACTGAGCAAGTGATGAAGAGATGAAGGAAACATCATGAGGAGACCTGCAGTATTTTCGATTAATAAAAAAAAATGATCGAAGGTAATTATGTGAAGCCTGCCTAGTCTGCAGTGAGTTCGCATGGTGGACTATGCTCTAATACCCTCTACACGGAGGAGGCCTTTGCCCAGAAGTAGGATATAATTATAGGCTATTTTACTTTTAAGAAGAAAAAATAGTCCCGTAAGAGTTCCCGAGTACCAACGACAAATACTAACAACTATAGACTGGATAATCCCAGTCTATATTTGTGAGTACGATTAGGCGATAAGATCGTTGGTGATAAGCTTACTAGCTCAGTAAACTCTATTAATGTTGCCTTGACAATTACTTCTTCTCTTTACACTCTCCAACACTCACTTCTTTCTCTTTGTAGTCCCAGTATAAGAAAATTGCGAAATCTTCCGCTTATGGATTTCGGAGTTTACGTATCTGCTATCCATCTTCAACAATTTCATGACATTAAATTAAAGTGCTATTTCTGTCAAAGCGAAGGTTACGGTGTCGATAAAATTGAGAATCATCCGCGCCCGCTGTATCGATAAAATTATTCCAGAGTGATTGAATGACATCATAGTGGGGTGTGAACTGAACGCATTTGACCGAATCTGTTTATATCTCTTTCTGTGAACACTTTATTATTCCTGCCGTCTATAAACTATATTCGATATGAAAAACTTTGGATGAAGTGTTTGAAGTTTTTACGTATTATCTGATTTCCAATAATTTTTTTTGTTAGTTGTTCATTCGAATTTATTAAGTCATCCTTGCCTCATGTTGATAGAGTTTACTTAATAGTTGCGAAGTTAATTATGAATGTATGGGAATTGTATGGCTTTTATCTTTATGAAGTTTGAAATGCATACCATTGTTCATTGTTACGGCGTGAAGGTAAAGTTTATTAATAAATAAAATTAGGCACGACGAAATCTGTGCTGTTTAATTAACGTGTTATTGGCATTAAATTAAAATAAGCGAAGAGACAGCGGAGACAGATGCAGGCTGATCCCGCGTTTATGTACGTCTTGTACCTCACATAATTCGGTGTTCCTACAAAGTACCCATCTCCTCGTCAACTGCCACTAAGCGCTGTTTTTCAGATTGGATCTATAGGACCATTTTTGTGATACATAGCTGTTCCGATTATGGGTCTGCTTTGTCTTAGTGTCTGTTATTTCGCGTTGTTTAGCCCCACTGACTCAAGGTGTTATTCCATAAACCAGAAGCCGGGAAAAAACCGGCCAAGTGCGTGTCGGACGCGCGAAGGATTTCTTACCATTCTATGAAAACGGCAAAAAATCGTGGCTGTTGTATTGGAGCCCCACTTAAACATTTTTTTATTCTTTTTTTTTTTCTTATTATGCGTTGTTAACGGCAACAGAAATATATCATCTGTGAAAATTTCAACTGTCTAATTATTACAGTTCATGAGATACAGCCGGACAGCCCATTGCCCATTGCCCGTTTTACCCAT